TATACACACAGCTGGAGAGCACTTTATCCAGTCTTTTGACCTCAGCAAAAACAGAGTGCATTAAGTGAAGTCCCTGAATGTTTTGTGGAAATTGGCAGAAAGTTACTGCTGAAAATACCACCATTAATGTAAGTCTAATGTAACTGTAGGTTCTTACACTCAACTTTGTCATGAAACTGTCACTAGCGTCTATCTCATGGATAAAGCAACTACATGGCAATTACTAGTGGGCTTTGTCTAAAATCTCCTTCAGTAACAGTGGCTGTTTCTCAATCTGCGTTCTTGTCTGTACTTGTGTTCTTGTGGACTTGAGACATCATAAGTCGCAGCCAAATTACTGTTCCAATTCAAAAGTCCGCATAAAGCCAAATACAAGTCAAATACCCGGATGTGTTCTCGCTCCGCCCGTTTTACCGAGCCTGCATCGTTGGTGACTTGTGAGGACTTTGGATCGCCAGATATCCCAGAATGCATTTCGCTGGTATAAGCGGAAATGTCAGAAAATTCAGAACTGTAACTTATAATACTGCTGTTCTTGTGTCACATATAGTAGTTTTAAGAGTTTTTTTTATGCGGGAATATAGTTGTTTAAACTACAAATATGTGGTTGATTTCTCTAGACAGAGCTGATTTTAAAAATTGTTACGACGTTTTCAGAGTTGTGAGGTCCTGCCCGCTAACGGTCCGGCCTTCATCAAGTCTGCTGCTGTTCCAATTGCTGAATGACTGACTGCGTGCTCCCGTTCCTGGGAGTTTGTACTCCCGAGCCGAACTTGCCAAGTCCAAGCTTTAAAGTACAGAAGTCCGAACTTGGCGAACTCGGTATTGAGAAACAGCCAGTGTCTCATATGAAATGCATTTTTTTTTGTACTACTACTTTGCTGCTACAAAATAGCAGCCTGGGTTACATTTAATGGCAAAAGTATTTACAATCCAAGAAAGATGACAGAAGGTAAATCTTTTGTTAATGTCATTATCCAATGTGGGGTAAATGGGTTGATACATATTTTTTTAATTTTTATCTACCATGATTCCAAGGTATCTTGCATAGTTTGTGGACCATTTAAATTGGCTTCATTGTTGACACTCAACATAATCAAAGTTTGTAAGTGGGATAACTTCACCTTTTTCACAGTTCACTTTATAGCCTGAGATGGTGCCAAAAGCATCCAAGAGATTTTTGTAATAAAGGGAGGGAATTGTATGGATCTGTCAAATAAAGGATTTTGTTGTCCTCTAGAAGATTCATTTTGTGGTTTGTTGGACCTACTTTAAAGCCCTTTATGCCTGCATCTTGCCTGATTGCTTCTGCTAGAGGCTCAATGCTAGGACAAAGATCCCAGGAGACAAGGGGCAACCCTGCCTGCTAGATGTACTAAAAGGAAAGGCAGTTGACATTTATCCTTTGGTGATAATTCTGGCTTGAGTTTTTTTTATGCAGCTGCTGACACAGTTTATAGAAGGGCCAAACCCAAACTTAGCAAAAACCCTGAGCAAATAAGGCCACTCAAGCCTGTCAAAAGCCATCTCAGCATCCAGAGTAAGGGCTATACTAGGTTCAGCCCTGGAGCCCAAAAGTTACTGGCAGAAGATCTCTTTGGAATAATACCAGTCTGGTCTGAGTTTATCAATTCTGATAATTATTTACTCAGCCTGTTGTCTAGAGCTTTAGAAAACAATTTATAATCTGGATTCAACAGTGAGATAGGTTGAAAAGAAGGGCATTTTAACGGGGTTTTGTGTATTACCATAATTACAGCCATAAAAAAATTAATCGGGGAGGCTTAAAGTTTTCCTTTACATAAAGAGAGGAATGAGTAAATCCTTAAACTCTTTTTGGAGAAACCGTCTTTTCTTGATCGTTAGAAAGTAGCCTTGGGCAATCCAAATGGTATAACTTTAAAAACAGCACAAAATACAAAAATACAGACCCTCCTCTTTCTATTAAACTAATACACAGATGTTGTAATGATCTGATGGAATGTATAACCTCAACATAGGTGGGCGACTGCCTGAAATCATTTACAATCCAACAATACCATAACCCCCTTCACTTTTCCAGCAGTTGGTAAACAACACACACACACACAAGCTTTAGCTACACAAATTTTTCATCCTGTTACACACAACTACAATGAGGCAATTAACACACACATGCAGAATGAAGATTTTAAACTTCCACCCAGTCCCTGAGTGAGACAGTTAATGGTCTAGGAGCTCTGATATATAAGAATTACCAAAGCTGCGTTTCGACCAAAGGAACTATACCCCAGAACTAGGAACCTTTGGAGGAACTCACTGTTTCCACCGGAGGGACCAGGGTCTAAATGTATTTCTGGGGTCTTCATTTAACCCCCTAAAAAGTCCCTGCTAAGGGGGTAGTACTTTCCAAAAGTACCGGGTACTTTGGGTGGGGGGCTTGCCTTCCAGTGAAATTCTGAATGGGCGAGTAGACGCTACTGGCTTTAACCAATAAATCACAATCAACAGTCAGCCACACAAGTCTCGCCGATGTCCACCTGAGATCGAATGTTGGCATTAAATATATTGGAAATAGCAGCCAGCATGCAGCGGTGTGTTTACGCTAAATAGTGGGTCCTAAGTAGTTTTGATCAGTCAGGAGGTTTTTACACAGAGCCGAAGTCGGTCTCTTCCTCTCCAAAACAAGCGGAACAGCTGATTACAGTAGGTAATTAAGCTCCTTAAACATCCCGTTCCTCCGACACTCAGGAGGCACAGACGTGAGTCCTGCAGCTCTTGTCGCTGGAAATGTTTAATAACCTTCCAAACTGTTGCGATTTTATTTTTGTGTTGCTTTCTCTGTGCTGGAGTTATTTTATTAAAAACGTGATGGTTTTATCCACACAAGTCTTGCCGATGTCCTCCTGAAATCATATGTCGGCCTTAAATTTATAGCTGGGAAATAGCAACCAGCTACAGCAGTACAGTGAACAGCTGATGGAGTTACACTAAATACTGGGTCCGAAGTTGCAACCAAACACTTCCTGGGTGTACTGTAGGCACAGGCAGGCCTGTGGTCAGAGGCTCTAAGGTCTCTGACGTAGGACAGGTGTTCACTAATGTAAGCAGAGACAGGGCCACCACCTGTGCTTAGCAGACAGGAACAGGCTTTTCAACTTAGTTTTAAAACTAAGAAGCTTAGTGGAATATAATTCCCAGATTTTTCATATAGAAAAGGTTTTGAGTAAGAATCATGGAAAAAGAAAAGCAGCTATATAGGAGAGCATTTTCAACTGATTATCCCAGCTGGCTATAGTGTTAGCGGTTAGCTCCACAGCTACAGCTATTTGGTGTGACTGGGCATTATATGTTGTGGACTGATTTTCTTTCATTCATGTGTAGAAAGCATGTCCTGGAGGCAGTTATGTTTGTTTATTATAGTTCAGGACAACTTTTTTTGCTTACAGAAGTTATATTTGGTGCCCCTGCCCTACCACATGCTTACGTGGAGAGGTATGAGGCGGGAAGAGCACCTCCCTGCCCATCCATGATCGTACATGGAAAGCCAGAGGCAGAGAGAGCAGCAGGCCAAAGCAGCTTAAATAAGGTGCCTTGTAAGGTTTTGCCAATGAATGCTAAGAAGGAAATCAGCTGAGATGTTTTTTTTCTCATGTCCTGAGACACAAATTCCATTTCATGGGCATTACAATTCCACCTTCAGCAGACGAAAGGACTAAGGCGATTTAGTCTTTTTTGAAAGGCTGTAAGCATTTCTACAACCTAAACACACACACACACACACACACACACACACTGTACATAGATACATTTCTATGACATAAAAGCAATATGTTGTACTCTAAACAATAGGACAGAGTCAAGCAAAGTGAAAAAGACCAAAGAGAAGAAAAGAAAAGCTGTGGCCACAAACGTTTTGGAGGCTTCAAAAGAAATTGGTTTTCCACCTCTGCGCTCTGTCTGAGTCAAGTGTAATAAGCAAGATAAGGGGGTTGATGGCTCTTAAATCTCGTCATGTACTTTTTCTTTTGAAATTCGGAGATCTGACAGATGTGCATAAACACATCACTTCAATCTGCATTTTATAATGTTCAAAAGGTTCAAACTGGCATTATTTCGTCCTTAAGCAAGGCACTTGAGTCTTCATCTTCCCCCAGCGTAAAACAATAAAAACAAGAGGTAAAAAGGAACACATCACTTTTTGCAATAACATTTAAAAGACATAAAAGTTATGTGTTTACAAAATGGTATTTTAGAGATGTATAGTAATAGATACATATATATATAGTATTCAAGCCTGACTGGATCTTGACTGATCACCAAAAACATGGAATCAAGGAGGAAATTAGGTCAACTGTTTGTAAAATCCTCATTAAAATGTTCTGAAACAAATTATTTAGAAGCTTCTGTAACATAATAAACTGAGGTTACGAGGTTGGATTATCTTTCACAGATGAAGTTAAAGTCAAGAGATGATGAATTGATATTTCACTACAACATAGTGTAAAAGTTCTTGTAATGAAGACAAGAGGAGAGGTAACAACAGCAGTGAGACCCATAAATGAGATGTGATGTTGTGTGATGTGTTGAAAATCTGGGGAAACAAACTTAAATACATTAACCAATACATAACAAAACTCAACACCTACCTATTTAGTCATGAAAATGGTGTGGCATGATGAACATGTTTGCCAGCTTAAAGGATGGGTAAACCCTCCCTGAAAGGCTAATTTCCTACTTTGAACTAACTGATAATCAAATTTTTAAATTATAAATATGTCCACACAGGGTAGTAAACAACATAGGTTGAGGTAGTTATCATCTATCACAGAAAAAAAGTTTACAGCATGTTACAGCCAGTTAAAGCTCAATTATTTCAGGTATCTCAGGTTGAGCACCCTATTGATTTTTATTCTTGCAGAGGCCTTTATTGATCACTTAAGAGCCAAGAGTGGACAAATGGAGGATGTGTTTCCTTTAATTTCAGTGAAGCTCTTATTGTCTTCTCTCTTTGTCCACAGTGGGATCCCAGGGAAGAAATGTGGCACTATCATCTTGTCTGCAGAGGAGCTGAGCAATTGTCGAGTGAGTAAGCCATAATAATCTCCCCTGCCAAACACAAATTAGCAGGCAAACATCTGTCAGCAAAGCCTGGTTAAACAGACTTCGCACATAAAGTGGATTGAGCTGGATGGAAGCTTAGAGGGGCAAATAAAGTATAGGTACACAGCCACAGACAAAGGAAACGTCCTGTTGACTTTGTTTAGCCCACTTTGAAAAAGAATCAGCAATCAATGAGATGAAAAAGTTGTTGTTCAGTCCATCTTTGTTAACTATCTGTCCATTCATATGGCAGGTTTTTGAACAGGTTTTACTCCCTTAGTACAGACCAAAATCTGTCAATTGCATCAGAAACTGAAAACTGGCACTGAATCCTACATCTGATTTTTCTTTATTACAGTTTATCTTGATTACTTAAACACATTTCTTGAAATTATTTTTCTCAAAACTCTAAACACAAATCCACAACTTCTCACCCAATTCCCCACACATCCTATTTTCAGGTCAAAATGAAGCTCTCCACTCAAAACCATTAAATTTTGGTAAAAAACCAAGCTTTGCCCTCAGACATAACACACAAGCCCTCAAAAACTAACACACACAACCACACAGTTTTACACACTGGTGAGATAAATTCAAAACAATAGTCTACTATAAAAACTGGTTATTAGTAATGTTGCTTGTGGTTCTCCCCCTCAAAAACCTCTTCACATGATTAACACAAAAGAAATAACAAATGGAAACATTTGCACACTCTGGGTATTGTGTTAACACAGGTGAGCGGTTTCCGTCTCACTCTTTTCCACAGGGAACTCAGTATGATGACCGTTGATAGATTAGTTGAAGATACCTTATACTGAAGTATTCCTGGAAGTGAAATTGAATTTAAAAAGTGACTAATTAGTCTATCAGCGCCTAAACTAAGGAGAACCAACAGTAGCTTTGTCCTCCATCAGTGGTAGCAGGTCATCCTATTTGTATGATCCCTGTGCCGAAAGTGAGAGTTGTTGCTATCCATGCTAGCGGAAAACTGCTGATGTGATAGTGATTGTCAATCTATATCTGTCTGGTATTATCACATACTATGTTTCCAAACCTCCGCACAACAGTTTGCCCCCACCTCACATATCTATCTATCTATCTATCTATCTATCTATCACACTTACACACCCCTCTCAAAAAATAACAGACAGGGCACCTGCTCTCACTCTGCAGAGTGTCCCCCAGTCTAATGAAATGGCCAAGGAACATGATGGGGTGAGTGCTGACTGCCCCTTCAACCAACACTGTGCTGTAAAACTTTGGATGCTTCAGTGGGCTCCGAGCACGCAGGTTAGAAGAGGATCTTGAAAAGCAAGATAGTCCAAAAAGGCAATTGTCACAAAGAATGGGAGAGAGAGAGAGTAAAGGAGAAAGACAGACGCCTGACGTGTACCAGCTCTTAGCTATAAGAACTGCTTGGCTGATAGTGTGACACAGAGTGTTGGTTAATTAAAACGCTGCCCTGTATATGGGCTATATATGTATACATATATACTATATATACACATATACAGACACAAAGAACAGTGACACAGTTGACACTCTTAAACTATGTTGGAGAAACACTGTAAAAAGACTGCAGTTGTGAAGAAGAAAAACTCAAATACACAATAATGTTTGCAGAGATTTGAATTGTTTTCTCAGCCTATCAAACACTATGCAAGCCTTCAAAACATAGTTTCAAACTTGCAAAACCCCTTTTTAAATTAGATTTCAAGCTTTCAAGCAGAGTTTCAACCCTTCAACGCTTTATTTTTCAGTTTCGAGATGCGGTATGATATTCATCCCATTTACACACAGATGAACACACAAACATGCACACTCACTTTCTCTTTCATATACTTGTTCACATTGTGTCTTAATTCTTTTTTAAATACAAACACACTAACATTAACATGGAAAGCCTGGTCCAGGCTTTGTTGCATTTGATGTCACCTGCACAGTTTGTAATACAAAACAAGACGGACTGTTTTTGTCATTTAAAGCTCCTACAATCAATATTTGTATATCGACAATGATTCACATGACTTCTCAAAAATGAAAGGGGGCGCTAAAAGTGACAATAACCCACTGACAATAACTCAAAAAGCTGTTTCAAATGAAAGAAAGTCAACATGATTTGAGAGGTGAAGTTGGTGGAGACCAAAACAGAGCAAGAAGGTGGGCGAATATTGGATATTGGACACTCTCCGGGTGGTTGCTGTGCGCATTTGCGCACAAGGTGCAGCAGCATAACTTCGTTGATTATTTAAATCTCTGGACACTCCGACAGGAGCGGTCAGGATGCACTGACAGCAGCCTAACTCTTTGTTTTTTTGTTTTGTGGAAATAACTGTAGTGTTCCACCAGTTTGAAAGGAGACACCACCCTGGTTGGTATTTAAACTGTTGTATAGCAGTATTTAATATATTATGAACATTAGACAAAAAGGTAAACACTCTTTACTTTCTACTTTTAATATGTATTAAGGAAGAACTACACTGTAGCACAAATGCGGCAATTATTTAGACACTGTGGTCTTTAGCTTTTACTAATTTGAGTTACCAGGTTTATTCTTTAGACATTACAATAAAACTACAAAGTGTAAGAAGTTGAGAAAGACATTTTTGTTACTTACTCTGTAGATACCTTTTTACAATTTGACTCACTTCAGGAGTTGAACATCATAATAATTATAGAATAATAAAGGAAGAGCAGTTAGTTAATAAACTGACAGACAAATTTCTGACACTAGATACCATCAAATAATTAGATTTTTTACAAGAAGTTATGTGCTATTTGTTACATCTACAGTAACTCTCACAAAATTCATTAAGCATATTTTGCAAAATGTTAAGCTATTCAAATAACACAAAATGTATATTATTATATAAATAGAGGAGTTAAGGAGAAAAGTTGTTTGGTTAGCTCATCATCATCTCATCTGTGATTGCACGTGAGAACTAATATATTCAGGAGGATAGCGCTGATTATAATTGCAGTGATTATTATCAGTGTAACACTATAAATGTAATGCTGTCCAAGCATTTAACATGAAAACAAACTGGTAGCACTTTATAATAACTACACACTATAAAGCATTAGTTAAGTATTAGTAAATACGGAATTCATAATTTATAAAGCCTTATTCATACATTAATACACATTAGTAAGTCATGCATAAACACAGTTATAAATGTTTTATTCTTTATTATCTACACACTATGAAGCATTTGTTAAGTATTAGTGCATTTTTAAGTCATCATTTATAAATCATTGTTCTTACGTTAATACACATTAGAAAGTCATTTATAAACATAGTTATGCATGTTGTATTCTTTATTATGAAGCTCATCGCTAATGTGCTGAATAATTGTATTTTCATACTTTATACATTATGAGTTCTCTACTTATAAATTAAGTATTATTTTAATGACAAACCATTTAAATATGAGTTGTTGTCATTTGGAAAGTAAAAAAAAAAAATTACATAGGCTAACTGCCTGTTTTTTTATACTTTCCCGTGAAAGAATAGAAACAATCTCAGCATAACTCCTAAATCTACCAGTGGCAAATACTCATATATAAATGGTTTGTCATTAAAATAATACTTTGTTTATAAATAGTGAACTGATCATGTATAAAGTATGAAAATACAATTATTAAGCACATTATAGATGAGCTTCTTAATAAAGAATACAACATGCATAACTATATTTATAAATGACTTACTAATGTGTATTAACGTAAGAACAATGATTTATAAATGAAGACTTAAAAATGCACTAATACTTAACAAATGCTTCATGGTGTGTAGATAATAAAGAATAAAACATTTATAACTGTGTTTACGAATGACTTACTAATGTGTATTAATGTATGAATAAGGCTTTATAAATGATGAATTCCGTATTTACTAATACTTAACAAATTTTTCAGTGTAGTGCCAAAAAGATTAAGCAACCAAATGTAGGGTACACGAGAACTTTTGTTATCATTTTGAATTAACTGATTTCCACAACAGTTTGGCTTTGATAAATCTAAACCATATGGACAAAAACACAGTGAGAGCTTGAACAGAACTGGCAATCAGGGAAACATTGTTCTCCCATGTGATCAGGTTTATGAGGCGTGCAGCAATCAATTTAAGTATACTGAAACAACTCCATGTGCTGGTTATTAAAAGTTTTTGCAGCTATCTAAACACTATGACTATCATAATATTGTGTTGCATAAATTTGATTAACTCCCACTTGCAAACACTATCGGCACACCCCAAGCAACCAATTTGTGGGGGTGGCTATGGCTCCATGCAAATACAACATTTTTTTGGGCGGTGGTCTTCACTGTTAAGCAGCCTTCAAAATCGAGGTCTGCCACAGTAAATCCTAATCCTGAGGAATTTCTGACAAATACAGCCCACTTCCTCCCAATCTAGCACCAATGTTTATTATTAAAATCTGTTTGCCTTGTCCTACAGGGAAAATATGACTTGTGTACTTTTGTATGGACTTTTTTGATCTAAACAAAGAATACAGTAGAATAAGTACTGTTAAGCTACTTTAAAAAATGTCAAATGCCTTTTAAATAAAATAAAATAACGCTTCAACTTGGCCAGTGAAAATGTTGTTGCTCATAGAAGCGGAACTAGGTGCTGGAACCTCAGGTGGATGCTTACAGTTAAGTCTACTGATAATAACATCTCATAATTTCATAATTACCCACATTAGAGTAATTACACTGTATTGTTGATTACTGAGGACCAACAGGATCCCAGTCCTGTTGCAGCTCTTTACTGCTACTACTCTACTGGCCCCTGTAGGATTTATTTTTTATCCAGCATATTTGCAGCAGTGTGTGTGAGCAGTGCAGAATGGGAGCAGAGCAGTGTGATTTCGCCTGGAGCGTCTCTCAGTGTTCCCCTTCTTGAGATAAAGCTCCATCACATGAAGAAGCTGATACAATCCCAGGAGGATTTTCATATCGCTTTATTTGCACAAATG